ATTAGCTAAGTTAGATTGTAAAATAAAGCGAATAGAAGAAGGTAAACTGCATTCTAATAAATATTTAATTTTTAATTAATCTCATCCGTTAACTGTTAAGGCAGGCTTAGTTAGTTAAGTGTCTAACAAACTGAGCAGTAGCACTAAGTAGCACAAGAAAAGACCTAAATGATGAAATAAAACAGATAGAAGAAGCGTTGGTATCAAATAAATATCCTATAAAATTCATTAGGAAGATCAGTAAAGACTAAAAGCAAAATGAAAATAATTGTGAAACTAGTAATAATAACACAAATAAGAGAGAATACAAGGGATCTACTGTTATAGCATATAAGGGGGCATCTGAAACCCTATGTAGGATTCTAAATAAAGCAGGAATTAGAGTGGCATTTAAACCTACAAACTCACTCAGGGACAAGCTCTTCAGGTTAAAGGACCCTGCTGACCCAATTAGACAAAATAATGTAATTTACAAAATACCTTGCAATGACTGTGAGCTGGGTCAACTACATAGGTCAAACTAGTAGGCCAGGGGTAGTCGGATTATCAGGACATAAGAATTTAGCTAAGGTTGGGATGATTGGTTCAACTATGATAAGTAATTTAGAAAAAAACTCAGCGATTGTACTGCATGCATTAACACACAATCACACAATAGGGTGGGAGAGGGTTAAAATCCCGAGAAGTAATATAGGTAGGTGGAGAGAGAGAGAGGGAGGTTGATTAGTGAATCCTGGTTCATCGAGTCTAAACCCAACACATGCAATAGAATTGACTCATCATCGCCAATACAGGAGATATGGAAGATATTATTGCCACCAGTTAAATCAGAGGATGATAAATAATGTCAAAATGTATTGAATTCACATTATAACATTCTAACAAGTTACTTATTTTTACTGTACAAAACATCTTATTTCTCATCTGATTGATAACGCTAATATTATTTGTGAGTGTAGTTTATCTTATATTTATTTTATTCCAATGTCTAATCATCAAATCTTACTCGTGTATATAAATGAAGCAAGAAAGTTGTGTGAATACCTTGATATGATTATGAGCAATAATTTGTGCTCGAAATGTCATTAATAAATATTACTCTATAACACTGTGTGATTTTATCAAAATAAAATTTGATCTATGATGGAGTTATATGCTACCACAGTGCCCAAGTTTTATCCTTATACTAATAACTGCTTTGTTATTGACTGATTTTTTTAAACCTAAAGTCTGTTTTTTAAGCAATTTTCAGTCTAACTCTAATTCTGATAGACTGTCTGAAGACTTCACAAAAGCCTTTTTAACTGATGCTGTTATATTCTGATTACATGAAGAAACTTTACAGTTGAATTTTCATGCATCTTATTAGGTGCATAGCTTTTGTTTTTTAAAGATTTGTAACAAATTTCATGAAATAGACCCTAGACCATTAACTCAGAAATTAATTATCTACTTGATTCAGTTGATTTCAAAAGCAATCTCTCTGTGATATGATAGTGTTCATCAAGCAATATGTACTAAGCAGCCATTAAAATTAGGATAGTGAATGCAATCTCAAACATATCTTTAATTGCTTTCAAAAAGGGAATCTATATTTTAAGTGAAATAGAAATCAGAAACCGCAGTCAACTTTAATTACTTCAGTGGTTGTAGATGCAATCCATCAGTTTACTATATATGCTACTTTTCATATACTCCATTGGCCCAGTGATACTCCCCTGCCACTAACTTGTCTGATTCCCGGACAACGCACTCTTGAACCCCGCCTTAGCTGTTGATAAGCCCAGAAAAGAGGGACAGTTGGGTGTAGGACCCGTGATGCCACCCTCTAAAAAATACCATCGCCACCGAAAATTCAAGGCTTAAAGTTCTGTGCTCAAATGAGAACTCAAAGCATTTAAATGAATATACTACCTTATATGCCTCATTGAGTTGTAGTGCGCCTTTAATGTTTGAACTTGTGTTTTAATGCATTCATTTAGTGTGGCGCCTCACCTTTACTCTGCTTCCGGTGTGATTGCTCGGACGTAGCTTGCTCCCTCATTGTGCTATCGCGAATCGCACTCTTGAGCTTGCTACACAAGCCAGTTAGCATATAACTTGTACGGTATTCTTATTTATTAAATTTGACATTCAGTCTGTTGAAAAATATAATCCTCACCTGAGCACACTACCTAGTCACAAGCCTTCTTACTTTGAGTTCGTTTATCAGTACTTACACATTAGGTAGAGTACTGATCAGGGTTGCCCAAGGAAAGAAAGTTTAGTAGGTGCTGACGTTAAGGACTGTCTAAGGGTTGACATCGGCATTTACAGAGTCATCAAAGTATTATGCGTACTAATGATATATTCTTCTGAATATTTTGGTATTTAATTCATAATTCATAACATAAGTATTGCGATTCGTTTTAATTCCGATTTCTTATTTTATAATGTCCATTTTTTTGTATATGCGATATAAATGAAAAATGACATTCTTTATGTCATAACCTAGACGATAATACAAGGAGTGACTTCACTGCATATCCCCGCTAACTGTAGCTTCGTAGTCCATTACTATGGAGGTTTAATGGCAAGTTATATTTCCCGTGTGCTTTTTACATGAAATTTTTCATCAAAAATTTTTCTCTAGTTTAGTAGCATTGCATTCTTTAAGTGGGTTGCATTTGCTGTACTTTTATAAAAAAAATGTTGCTTGATACTGATGTCCACGTAATGTAGTGGTTTAAAGCAGGTAGTAAATTCAAAAGTTAAACGTATATTATTGGATTTTCATGTAATCATGCTGATAAACTTTTACTTATTTATTGAACCGCTTTAACACTCACTGGATAAAGGTGGCGCCACTTCAAAAAGATATATGAGATGAAAAGTCTCCCTAATGTAAGTTCTCAATATGATACTCACCTTAAACTTGTCTATGAAGTCAGAGATTCAAGTGTTATGTTAGCATCTTCATCACTGTAGCTTTAAAATAAGTATTCTGTTTGATTACAGATTAATTGATATATTTTGGGTCCGCGGACTCATGTGAAATTTAGAGTGACCAAACGTCGTCAGCTAGGAGAGGCCAGGTTTCATAGCCTTGGTGCAAGACTGTGCTCACTGAAACAGTGTAAACCTGGCCATGAACAGACAAGTGACGGTGCGACAGCGCCGGAGTTGACTGAAACTGATTTATGCTGCCCTAGCTTTCACTGTACGATCAGAAGTCTTGTCCGTCATTCCTTCACCAGCACTCGCACTACTACCCAGATACATCAACTTGCTGATAATCTCAAGGGTTAGTGCAGGTAATTTCTCAACAATACTTGGCACCTAGACAGTACAAAACACATTCCATACTTACGGTCACTGCTCGCCAACTCACTAATTGAGATTTTGGCAGTCTGTTAGCTCTTGGGAGGTAAGTGGGTAAGATGATATCGTCTGCAACTCGAGGTCCATAAGTCTTTCTCCAGGAACCAGGTCTAGACCACTACCAGACTCGTCCTTCAGAGTTGACTCCAGAATGTCATGGATGACAAACTTAAAGAGAAATGGAGGGATTGAGCAACTCTGTCTAACCTCATTGTAAGTTGAGAACAGTAGTGGCAGCTGGTTGCACACCGTCACTCTACCTGAAGTATCTCTATATAGGTCTTTCAGGATGCTGACAAACTCCTTGAGTGCTCCTCTTCCAAACAGAAGCATCCAGACAACAGTTCTGTCCAACTGCGATAACGACTAAGATGAAAATATGGATTATGATAAGATTCAAAATACACATTCTGCCTAGCTTTAAATTACTTTCAATTTCTTGTTGATTAAAATCAGTTTCTTGTCTTGGAATTCGAATATACTATCGTAAGATCTGTACATATTTGTTATAGGAGACTTTCACGCAACCTTTAGCTTCATACTTGAATTAAAAATTAGACGAATGGATTAACGACAAGAGTTGCACATGAGGCCCAGGGAGGATGCGAGATATGTCTGGTTGCGGATATATCTTACTGAAGAGCGCCAATAAGCGGGCGATCTAAGACCAATGTGTCCGACCGGCTACCACCAACCAAACAGAATCCATTTAGGTTGTATTGCTATGGTGTGAAAGAACTGATAGAATTTATAAATAAACCTCATCCAAACGTTAATAAAAACAAGAGAAGTTCAGAAAAGGTTCACTTTTCGGCGAATTCATTCACTTAGCTGTAAAATCGCAATTATATTCAAGAACACTATCCCAAATGGCTGCAAGATAGATAATAATGGCTGTATAAGGAATGCGATAATCGAACATCTCGTCAACAATAGTCATTCCATCTCAACAAACGCCTCCTTCAAAGTGAAGAAAAATCTACCAAAGGCAATACGCTTTCGTCTCCTTTATATTATCGAAGCCTTAGCTACCCAGTTGGAAAAACCAGAGTTATGTATACACAAGAAAATCATCCAGGCACTTCTACTTCCACGGTAACAACCGTGTTGACTCCTACAAACTTGATGTTTGTTTTTTTTCTAACTCCTTATAACAATTGTAATTTTTAGAACTATCACATAATTCCATATTTTCCCTTGTATCTATATGCATCCCAATCACAACTCACTCATTAAACTATTCATCTTATTGCGTAACTACAATACACTTATTCAACTTCTCTTGTGTTGATTAACATTAATATCTATGTTTTTTGACACCCCCTAGTTAATATTCGACTATTCATCACATTTTTGAAATTTGCACCGAACTAGTTGTTATTCACTTTATCCTAAATATTGCGCTGAAGATGTTGTCCAGAAGGACGACGAAAGTTCCGCTACTAAACCAACCAGCTCAGAGAGCACTATTAATTGCAAAAGTTGTTATTCTTATCGGAAAAACCTAATGTACACACATACAGTAATTCTTTTTTTCTTTTTATTCCTTCACGTTCCCAATGGAACAAAGGGCTTCAAGCTAGAGGCTTGAAGTTTCTGAGCAGTGTTTATTTTTACAGGATGGGGTTGCTAGCCTCATACCCAACCTTTCCTCTTTACCAGGTTTTTATTGCTGGCTTAGCGAAGTGTAGGAGTGCGTCGTATGTAATGATATGTAATATTTACAAAACTCCAAAAATTTAAGCCATAAGTAAACAAACAAATCTGATTGGCTGTATGAAAACAAAAGTTCTTAGGCACCTCACGCCAAAAAATAAACGATTCAAGAAAATCATCCAATCAGATTATGATATCAGTGCATGCGTACAAATTATGACTTCAAGGTGAACAAAGGAAATTATCTTTCCTAACAAGTTGTATAAAGGAAGAAGAAACATTCTATCAGAAACCGACATCATTTGGAAAATCAGTGAAAACTGAAAAAAAAACTGCAGAGTAGCCGTGAAGAGTGCCGTACTAAAACCAAACAGCTGTCGTCCAGTAATCTACTCGCTTTTCGCAGTTCCCTAGTTGATGTCAGAGTTCGTGATGAAATCTAACCTGAAGTCAAACAAATCTCAACTAGCCAATATATTAAAACAATTTATGCTTAAAAAGTAAATACAGCATCTTTAAAAAAGAAGAAAATGATTCAGTTTATATACACAACAAAAAGAAAATTTTTTTTTAAATGCTGTGAGTTTCCTTCTCACCACCATTGGTTATGTAAATTGCATACGGCCATTACAAAAACAAATAAAGTGTACAATAAAATCAATAAATGAAGAGGTATAATGCAATGTTTGTAAAATCAGAAATATTTTTGAAAAAGGAAAGAATATATAAAACAGCAAACAAAAATATCACATTACAAAAGAAAATAATTACACAAACAAGAATGACTTAAGAATTAAAAACGAAATTTACAAAAACGAAATAACAAAAATGTACAAGGTACAATGATTAGTTTGAAATATTAAAATCCCTGAACATATTTAACAGACCATTTTGTAAATCTTCATTCTGTTTTATTTCACGAAGTGGTAAAGATTTTTGATCAGGCCTTGTTGATAATGTGGGGGATAACTTTGGCGTTTTATCTGAACAGTGAGGTAGAAGACGTTTATCATATTTAGCAGCTATGCTTGGACGAAGCATACGTCCTCTAGGTGTATTTATCAGTAGTTCAAACCTTGAACGACAATGACCACAAACCTATAAAAAAGATGGATAAAGTGACACGACCATTGGTTGACTTATATATACATATATCTTTTGGTAAATAACACTAGCATTCGGATCGATATTTCCTAAGGTTTTACTATAAAAGGGTGCCATAACAGTTCACTAATAACTAAGTGAAATCAAAATGGAGTGTCTGACAAGATCAAACATGCATTCTGGAATTCATTACTGCAAAAATGATTCACCGCTTCTTATTAAGAGAATGTGTTAACCTGGTCTTTAAAAAAATGGTTATCTTATTCATTTCTTTTCATAGGTTAGTTCAAAACCAACAAACATAATGCAGGCAAACAAATAAACAGATACTATTATTATTATTATATCCTTTAATTCCTAGAGGAACATAGGGCTTCAGCTGCGCTTATCCATTGCCTTCGGTTTTCTGCCAACTTTTTCACCCCGCTCCAAGTCTGCCCATATGTTTTCATCTCCTCTTCACATAACCTCCTCCAAGTTCCCCTCACACTGACGACCAACTCGCCCTGTCTGTCTGTCTGGATTCAACATAGAACTTGGCACCGAAGTGCAGCAGTTCGAGTTGCCACGTTCCAAATAGCACACAGAGGTAGACAAGAAGATGAGTGGAGAGAATTAATAGAGTTTGACAAATATAAGAGTGAAACAGAATGGGTAATGGTAGAAAGGAATATGAAAGATTACAGAGATTGAATACATCTGCGCCATTGACAACGATTTTGAGCCATGTCACCTATTGTCTCCAGCCACTGATTCCTAGAGTCCCGAGGGCCCCAACCCGGGAGTCTGCATCTCCCTACCTGACTCAGTTTAACTGTCAAGGATTTCATGGATTGATGCCATGTTTTTGTTTGGCCACCACTGGCTCTTTTCCAACCTGAACCTATATCAGCTAACAATGCCCGTCGGGGGAGGCGGTGGTTAGGCATGCGCACCACGTGACCTAGCCATCTTAGTCTATGTAACTTTATAACCTCGTCGATTGATTTTCCCTCTTTGCCCAACACTACGCCTAACGTCAACATTACTTACCTTATTAAACCACCTAACGTGAGACAGAGATCGCAGACATCTATGATCGAAAGCAGTCAACCTTTTCATGTCTTCAACGCGTATTGGCCATGTTTCAGAGCCATAGAGAAGGACGGAGCGAACTGATGAGCAGTACACACGTCCCTTGGTTGATAACCGGATGTCACGCCTACGCCAGAGATGGTGTAAGTCAGCGAAAGCAGCTCGAGCTTTTCGGATCCGTGCTGAGATTTCATCGCCAATCAGTCCGTTGGTGCTGATATAACTTCCCAAGTAGGTGAAGTGGTCAACATGTTCTATCACTTCACTCCCTATCACTAAGTTAGGGGTTGACGTCGTCCAGTCCTGTAGCAGCATCTTACATTTCGCCCTTTTGGGTTCCACTCGACCGATGGCTTGTCTAGTGAAGTCACTTGATGGCTTCCTCAGAGTATGGCCAATCCATCTCCATTTCTTCCTGCCTATTTGTTACACAATCGGTTCCTGGTTGGTTCTGTCCAAGAGATCCCTGTTGTTGATCTTTTCTGGTCGACCACCTGATCTTGAGTATTGAGCGAAGACAACTGTTAATGGTCTGAAGTTTGTTTGAGATGCTCTTTATGACGCGCCAAGTCTCTGATCCGTAAAGTAGCACTGACTTCACATTGGAGTTGAAAATCCGGATCTTATTTTTGATGGTGAGTGCTGTTGATCTACACACAGACATGAGAGTAATGAAAGCTTGTCTTGCTTTCCCGACCCTTGCTTTGATATCCTCGTCAGTTCCGCCAGTAGTTGAAACCATGATTCCCAAGTAAGTAAAGGAGGTTGCTTCTTTCAAGTTTCTCCCATTTATGCTGATTGTTGTCTGTTGTTGTTGTTGGTGTTGGTCAGGAATCTTCATTACCTCTGTTTTATCTACGTTCACCTGAATTCCTATCTTTGATGCTTCATCTATCGCCAACTTGTCACTTTTCACTTGCATATCTTCCAGTTTGTAGGAAATCAGACATATATCATCATCGGCGAAGTCCAGATCCTCCAAGTTCTTGTTTTGTGTGAGTCCATTTTATGCCTGTTTCCTCATTGCCCATTGTCTGTCGCATTATCCAATCTACTGCGATCAGGAAGATCATTGGCGATAGTAGACACCCTTGCCTCAATCCCGTCCTCACTTCGAAGGCTTCCGTAAGTTTCCCGTTGTGGATTACTTGGTATACAGCGTTGTCGTATAACTGTTGGATGAGATGTATACTTGTCGATGGGACCCCGTATTAGCGAAGTAGTTGCCAAATGACCTCTCGATCGACGCTGTCTAGTGAAGGCCTTTTCAAAGTCGATGAAGTTGAGATAGAGAGGTGACTGCCATTCCAAGCTTTGTTCAATGATGATCCGTAGAGTGGCGATTTGATCAATACATGATTTGTTTCTCCTGAATCCGGCCTGTTCCGGACGAAGTTTTTGATCCAGGGCTTGTTTGATTCTCTCCATGATGATGCGGCTTAGTATTTTCCTTGGGATGGACAAGAGCATAATTCTACGCCAGTTTTTGCATTGACTTAAGTCTCCTTTCTTTGGTAGTTCGAATAAGTATCCTTTCTTCCAATCAAACAGATACTGAGAAAGACTAAACGAAGTCCATGTATAGAAATATATTTCACACATATAACTCAAATCTATGCATCCACTGCCTTAGTATAATCCTGAATTGTCATGTCTCCATTGCAGATACGTATTTTTCTCCGCTTAACTGATGCAATACCGACGACACAAAACAAACAACATGCAGAGACATGTATTGGTGCGCTTCTTATCACTAATGCATATTTGTCGATAAGTGCAGCAAGAAAAGATTTCTGGAGGCAACACCCAACAAAAGTGCTGCGACGCTTTTCGTACTACACAAAGATAAGTACTGCTAGGTAGCACCAATCGAAATGACCAGTGGGCTGGTGGAGAACGGGTTAAAATACGTCAAGTTATCTTTGTTAGGATATATACACAAATGGTTAATTGATCTAGTATTTTCATTAATTTTTATACTGAGACCCATACAAACTCTATTAAAGGTTTCACGGTTGATTAAAGAACCATAGTCCTCTTTAAAAGTTTGAACAAATTAACATTATATGTAGCCTTTTTTGATGTTCATATGAATAGACATAGGCTTCAAGTTGGGGAATGATACTCTGATGACAGATACTGAAACTTTTATGGACCAATTAAAAAAGAATTATCTTGTGTAAATAAACCCTTTTCATATACTAAAAGCAATATGAGTTTTGAATTTTCCCTGTAATGACCGGTTAGTCAGCTACTGATTAACCAAAGTCATCTAATGCATTTTGGTCTTGTTCACCACTCTGCAACTACAACTAAGATGTCTCAACTTCTGACACCACCAGGTGCTTTGCTTTGTGTGCTACATGGAGTGTGGCGACTTCAACTGCCGCACATCGGTGCAGAGTTCCATGTCGAAAACAGAGAGACAGACAGACTTAAAAGTATTTATATTACATAGTAAAATACAAATAACATCCAATCGTCAAAATAATCTTAATGTGATAAAAAGAGTAACTATATGTAGCATGGAAAAAAATATAATCGTACCTTTTTCGTGGTATCCAAAGATTTGCTGTGTCGATTGATGCATGCGCCACAACCTGTACACCGGTATGTAAATCGTGTTTCAATAGTATATGCATGGCAAACCGAAACCATAGGTAACTGCGGCCAGATACTATGAGCTCGATTAGCCCATGCCTTCCAGCGTCGTCCATGACCGTCATTTACACCATCTATCAACCAAACAGCTGCATGACAAACTTCGTGCAACAAAGTGTCTCTCACACGTTCTGCTGTAGTGCAAACTTTTTCTGACAGTAAAATTTGAGCAATTCGAACCTACGTGAGGAAATAACAAAAAAAGGATAAAATTACATCAGAAAACTTAGCCGGTTTCGAAGTTACTGATTTAGTATAAACATGAACCAGTAGATTACGGTACAGGAGGTTGATGGTAACAGACTGGATCTATTACTGGATCGTGCGTACACAATGCTGAAGCGCTGAACAGCAGGATAAAATAAAGGTACAGCGATCTTTAGATTACATCTGTTTCTGATAAATAACTACTATGTATCAAGTCAACTTGTGGTGGTGTGATACAGACAATGTGTTCCAACGGAATATTGTTCTCACAGTAAGAATTATTGTATTCGTTGGTGTTAACGTCTGAATACTATTCCCGCAGTTCAGTAGTGCATTAGCAACGGAATACTATGAATAGTTGAACATTCTATTTATTTATCATTCTATATATATATATATATATATAGCGCTTTCATCAACTGAAAATATCGAAATACTGATAGCTATCCACAAATCAACCTTGTAGTGTCTGGTGTCTTGTATTTATTGATTGATGCTGGTCAGTAAGAAATTCGCCAAACTATGACTAGGCTGAGTTGGAGTTCCAACGTACAACTTTGCACAAACATGTGGCAATTTAAGTTGAACAAGGGTAGCGAAAAATAAGAATTCAAAGGAACTTTAATGGAAAGAACGCCATTGAGAACTATTTCGAGTCATACCACCAACAGCCTAGAAGATCTGAGTCAGCAATCCTACATATCTCTACGTGTGCCAAACCAACAGTTAAAGAATTCACAGACTGATGTCAAGTTTTGACTTGGCCATGGTTTATTGTTTTCTTACCGTATCCCTCACCGAGGTAGGTGATGACTCAGCTAGCGTAAAATATGTGCTAGGTATCTTATTCAATGCAAATTCACAATCACATTAATTGACTTTACATCATTGCCTAATACTGTATGTCTAACCTCAATATTACTCATCGTTTATACCAATTAATATGGGAGACAGAATGTAAATATTTATGTTTCAGGACAGTTAGTCTCTTCAAGACTTCAAATTTCAATGGCTACCTCGCAGTCATAATGTAGGAGAGGACGAACTGCTGCGCTATACGCACATCCTTTGATGGAGAGCCAGATATGACGTAAATTGACAGATACCAATCGAACCTTCTATATCCATGTTGATATTTCGCTATCAATCAGTTCATTAGGACTGATGCAACCTCCCCAAATAAGTGAAATGGTCAACAGGTTCAACCACTTCAATCTGGATGTCGGTACAGATCAATCCTGCAGCATCGTCTTACATTTGACAGAGGCAGATCACATGGCAAATATATTAAGATTCAAATTGACAATGAATGGTGATCACTTGATGTTTTATTCAAGCGAAGCATTACTGGATGAAACCTTGCAGAAATCAAATTTACAAACAGCTTCAACTCAAAAGAATTGATTTAAACTGATATAACAGAAGAAGAAGAAGAAGAAGAGGAAGAAGAAAGAGACGATACAACAGAATAACTCTGTTTCATTTGTCCAAGAACACTTATTTCTGTTCTTCGCAAGGATGACTTCAGTGACCGATGAAAAACAGTACGGTGGGTATCTAATGGTCTAAAATTCAATCAGTACGCCTATCATGCGTTGCCTGTCATTTCATATGACAGCTGATTGTAAACTGTTTACCATTATCACTGTCTTTAGGCGAATTCTGTATTGCTACTTTGAAAAGATAATTCAGTCAGAAAAAATGAGAATATCTATTTGAACAATAGCTAATTTCATCAAACGAATTACACTGTGTACTTTATTGAATCAGTGGACTTTACTGCTTTATTCAGTATCGAATAACATGTAATGAAAAAGTGGTTAGCTTTACAATTTTACCTGAGTAGAAGTTTTGTCAGAATGGGTTGTTGTACGTGTCATATACTTGCAAAGACCAGCAGTTTTCAACAATCGACGATTCCATATTATCTCCAGATTTGATGGTAACTGCAATTAAAAATGGACAGAAAATAATAATTTGAATAATCTTCACTTAAAATACAGCACGACTATACTTAACACACGCACACTCGATGTACTCTGTTCCATTTTAGGTAAGTTTTTGTGGGTTTTTTTAATTGAGGAATCCCAGACAAAAAGCAGAAAGCTATACAACATTTATTGTTTTACTCAACATGTGACTGATGTTAGTTATTGATAGGATTTTTACTAAAATATTGATAAACCAATTTCCAACAGGTTATCTATAAATTCAGCAACAGCCTATATAGTTATAGATCTGTGTTAGAATTAATTTAATTAATTAATTAATTAAGTCCACCTTACAGTGAGCGACAAAGATGAAGAAAAACCTTTTCTATATTCAATGAAGCATTTCAAAGTTGTATGAATAACAAGTGTACTCTTACCTACACATAATTATTATTATTCAGAAAAATCTAACATATTATCACTCTAACAATGGTTTATAACACTGCAATCTTTGTTTTTTAAAGTCTTTCTGTCTGTTATCGACATAGAACTTTGCACATATGTGCGGTAGTTCAAGTCGCCACACTCCGTGTAGCACGCGAAGCAAGAGAAGAAAGTATAAGAAAAGCATAATAGAAACTGTGAGCAGAGGTTGTGAGACAAAGTAACGAAGAACAAAACAGTTTCATTGGAAATCATAAGTCACAGGGAGTGGATGCATCTGCACCACTGAGAACGATTTTGAGCCATGTCACCAATTGTTTCCAACCATTGGTTTTTACTATCCCGAGGACCCCAACCAGGAAGTCTACACCTTCCTACGTGGCTAAGACTAACTGTTGTGGATTTCATTGACTGGTGCCATGTTTTTGTTTGACCTCCGCTAGCTTTTTTCCAGCCTGACCCTATATCCACTAACATTGCTCGTCGAGGAAGGCGAAGACTAGGCATGTGTTACGTATGCCTAGTCATCGCCTAAAGCTGTTAGAAATCAACAAGTATAAGTAGACTAATGTACGACAATAAACAATAACTGGTTGTTCAAACCATGATAAAGGAAGAGGAATTCGGTAGAGTGAGATTGAGTGCCCAATAATGCTAGCAACACTGTATGCTTATTCTGCATACCAATTAGATATTATAAGTAACAGAATCATCTATTCATTTCATTTATATACTTCTTAATAATGATAAACTGATATTTCATTCAATAATAGGTGAAGCATATGAGAGATAAGTTTGTTTTACGAATGTATAACAAGCAAATGATGATATTGAATAAAACAACCAACTAATATTCTTATAGTAAGCACATAAACTCCAATAACTATACCGTAGAAATCGTAATATACTCATAATAGAAATAACAACACAAGATATGCAAACAAAAATAAACAAATGAGACATACTACTGGGTCAACTTCGTAATACCTACTTGGTTAGAGAATATCTTTTCATTATACATTTCATACAATTTCTTGGCTAATTCACATCGATTGGGTTTAAATTTTTGAACAAATCTGATAACATAAACATAAAAACAAAAAATGCATAGCTATGTAAAAGCATGAAATGTATATATATATATATATATATATATATATATATATATATATATTAAATTCACTGTTCTATGTGAGTGCTAGCATAGTGGTTGACATGGCATTAAAAATAATTTACTCTGGGAACCAAATTTTACAAAAAACACATGATATCAATTTAATTAGGTTGAATGTATGTGTTGCTGAAGGAACACAGGAATTTCAATGTATTATTCGGCCATTAGTTACAGCTATGGTTCATTATGTAATGATATTTGAAAGCAGCAAGGACAAAAAATGATACAAGATAACATGGTTCTTGACCGACTGACTGGATTCAACATAGAACTTTGCACAGAAGTGCGTCAGAAATGTAGGGGAGAAAGAATAGTAACACGGAAAAACAACAGGATTTAATGGCTATGGTAGATCACAAAGGCATAAGTAACACATGATCTCAACCGATGTCGCTTCACAACATATGTAGATTATATTTCGTCAGATCTTTTCAGTTACATAGCATGTGTGATATTATGACAACGCATAAAAACATGTTTGACATACATAAAACTGCTTGACATGCAGTTAAATTAGTGCGTGATCTCAATAGGTCAGGTATATATATATATATATATATATATATATAGTGCGTCGGTGGTACAGCGGTTAGGACGCCCACCCACCATGCATTTGGTCCGGGGTTTGATCTCCGACCACAGACGCACTCCTTTACCTCGCTAAGCCAGAAATAATGCTGGTAAAGAGGGAAGGTTGGGCATGAGGCTAGCAATCCCATCCTGTAAAGATAAACACTGCTACAGAAACTTCAAGCCACTAGCTTGAAGCCCTATGTTCCACTGGGAACGTGAAGGAAATAAAATGAATAATAATAATAAATTACATATATATATATATATATATATATATAATTTTCTCATGAAACAGTTGAGGGACGAAGCATATATAACGCATAAAAAGTTACTAGGGTAATTAATGGCTTAAAACTCATTCCTTTAGATGATGCAGACTGGTTGGAAAAATCTCCACAGTTGTAGCTAGATTCAAACTCGTGCCTGAAGGTCGAATTTCTAGACATATAAACTACACTCCTATGGAGGGTTAAATGTTTTCCAGGATATCGGATTACTGCTTCGAGTGGCTACCGTCATACTTGTAAATAAAGATTTCTGAATTAAGCGAGTGTTATCAAAAGCGATCAACCTATGCAGCAATATGGGAAGCTTTATATGAAGACTGAAAAGAAAAAAGAGCTAGTTAGCACAATGATACTTAAATAACTTATTTGCAACATATTCAGTGAGATATCTAATAATAGGACGATTAACTATTGTAAGTAATTGTGACAGAATATTCCCTAGAATAGCTTTGTATAGCTGATATATATCCATATAATATGTGTGTTTTGTTTCACAGTCTGACCTTGGTGATATATAACCATATAATATGTGTGCTTGTTTGACAGTCTGTATATTTGCTATGTATATATGGATCGATATTCCATTATAATTAGCCAATCATGTTAAGACTGTCTATTGATTTGTTCATTTTGAATATTCGCTCACACACTTGTTCGGACATTCATATATTTTGCTCTCACACTCTTGTGGGACATTGATTCTCCTTGTGTTTAGGAAAATAGAAGTATCATCGCAAACCTAGTGGTCTTCTGATTTCCGTCTTTCTTGCGTCAGGACTATTAAATTCTCGACCAGTACATAACAATAGCCCACTGAATATATACAGATTTATACATTAAGTTATCTATACCAGTGTAATGAGGCTGATAATAGAAAAGGAATGCTGAGAATGGACATACATACAAAAACAACTTCAAATATAAAAACAACGCATAAATGAGTTTATCAAGTGGCTCACTTTAGTGCATCAGGATGACGAATTTTTCTTTGTGCTGTTGATTTTCTGTCATTATCACTAACCGGGTACAGTGAATACACAAACTCCTCCACAGGGACATCTGATAAATTAGGCTTTCCGTCTTTCTTTGTGCTTTTATGACAGTTTGTAACATCTAGACGCTTTGGGACTGCGATAGTAACTGGCTGATTATTTTTAACCGAAGAAGAGTTTTCTCTATCAGACTCAGAGAAATCAGAATCGAATAAGTGTAATCTAAAATCAAAAAGCGAATTCATTTGGATAATTGTTGAAAGAAAAGGAGTTGTTAAGTTGTAAAACGAAACAGAAATGAAGCAAGAATATAACCGCAGAAGAAAAATGTGAACAACAACCATATTCAGAATTATGTGATAAACTATGAAGTACATATTCTTAGTGCTAAAACTACCGTATGTCCACTTCTATCGAATAGTGTAGTGATTTCGAATCGAAGACAATAATATCCATATCCACGAGTGTATCAGCTTCCATTGATAGTAAGCAGACTCTTAACTCATAAAATTAAAGTTTATCCTTTGATGTATGTGCACACTCACTTAGATGGTTTGCTTAACTTTTGTATGAAATTTTGAATATTTTCCTGAATCCTAGGAACAGAAAATTGCTACGCATCTATTCATATTTTATCCCTGAACATTACTAGGACATGAAGTCTACAATATTTTAAATTCCACGGAAAATAAGCAAGATAAAAGATAGTTGAAAGAATGTACAATTCAATAATATTACTAAAAGGTGAATTGTTTATCTTACATAAATTCCTTCTGAACAGCCCCCTACATGATTACTAAGGCGATAGTAGTACACTGGTGTGTGTTAAAATCATAAATGATTACTCAAAATTCTTACCCATCGTCAGTCTTCACTAAAATCATTGAGAACTACAGTAGACAAGTTATTCACTACTATAGTCTGTAAAAAATCACACTAAGAATATGTCTCAACTAGGCTTAAAGGGACACGATAAAATTCGATCAACATATGGAAGTATTAGAATTTATTACCGTCTACTTTGCATGTCCATTATCTTTTTCTCAACATACAAAAACACCGAAAAATAACTTCTAAATAACATCTTACTTGTTAAATGATACAAAATTCTTGAAGCTAACCAACCTAACACACAGAACAAAAATACTGACAATCTACAGGCCAGATGTATATCGGTCAGAAAACACTCGGAACACATAAGACTTTACATATTTTAACTGAGGTTTTACTTCTTAACAACTGCTGGCAACAAATTGAGACTGATGTAGAAGTCACACTTTAAAGCATATTCCTACAGTAACAAAACGCTTAGAACATTTGTTTCACAACACTATGGAGTGAATAAAGTATGTAGGTGCATTTACATAGACTGAAGACCTTATGTCCTGACCAAATCGTGTGTGAACTGGTTTTTGGACTCCTACAAACACTACAATTTACTAACTTTACCTTGTTACCAAAGGAATACTGGTGTTGACATAAACCCCAGAAAACTCTTGAAGTAGCATATTACTGTCGCATCTTCACTCAGAAATTTGTTCTGTACTAAAAATATAAGAATGTAAGTTGCTTGGATAGATGATATTTCAACATTACTAGGAGCGATGACTGAAGGCCTCAAGTGATATGGTCTAAAATCTTTTGCAGTAATTTACATGTACGCATACTTCATTTCAAACGTTATACTATATTTTTCTATTCCATACACCTGCCTCAGTTAGTAGTGTTTATACCTTAAGATCTTGCTACTTCCATCTTTTGTGTATTCTCTTATCACTTTTTTTGTCTTCATGAGTGGACGAGAGATATGAAGAGATAAACTTTGTTATGTAAAGCCCTACTATATGTTAGTGATGTCGTAGTAAACAGGAGTTCCGCATGTATAATGCATACCCTGTTATTAAAGCCACTACTTCATCCGACTATTCATGTTTACTGTGAAAAGCAGTTCTGCTATATTCCATATTAGTTTGTTTATTAGATGTATCACACAGTGAAACAGTATTACTTACTAGATGACTTGTCGAACAAAATTTATTGTTCATAGTCATATCACTACTTTACCATCTAGATTTCTCACTTTACATCTGGTCTCGATACTAGTTCACTGATTCTTTCAATATGCTCTAACAATGTTACGAAAACAGGGACAATTGAAGATTTGTAATCATCGTTTTATTTCTATTACCGGATAGATGTACAGCTGGATAAAGCGAATTACTGAATGGGACATTTTTTCGATAGGCACATCAGCGTGTGTGCTTTTAACAAGGATGGCATTTATTGACAAATAGCTAACTTAAATTCGGTGTGTTTAGTGAAATTCCTTCAGTAAGCATACAATTAAGGGAGACTGATGCTCTTTTATACATCTCATGTTATCATGAAGCATGCTAGAGTTCTAAAGTACTTGGCAGACAGTCGGTTCAAATAGAATATTAAAGGATACTAAACATGAAAGCTACGTATATACAAAAATTACTTGACATACGATGGTTTTCTGACTTCCGAAGAGTCTACTTGATTATGGATTCTATAGTAAAATGTTTGATAGGGAGAGGTAGAACTTGAATCATCATCCTCTTCAGACTCTCCAGATAGCCAATCGCTGCTTTGATCATCTTCCGATTTTGTTATTTTGGTTTTCTTCTGAGACTCTATAAATCTTTCAAAGGCATCATCATCGTCATCACCACTACTAACGTTCGATTTATTATTTGGGTTGAAAAGACTATCAATTTTCAAGGATGTATGTGCAACTGTCCTAATATTAGAGTAATTAAGGGACATTGATCTATTCATGTCTGATTTTGTAGATACTGGAAGTAACTTAGAACTATCGTCAACCTTGCCATTATTGTCATTAGGATCAAGAAAATGTTCGGTTAGTGAAGTGTGTACAAGCAGTTGTGTGTCGAAGTTGTCATCAACAGCTGCCTTGTCTGTACAAGTTTTTGGAGACGCTTCAGAATCACATTTAATTGCTGGTGAAGTTTGTACAAGCAGTTGTGTGTCGAAGTTGTCATCAACAGCTGCCTTGTCTGTACAAGTTTTTGGAGACGCTTCAGAATCACATTTAATTGCTGGTGAAGTTTGTACAAGCAGTTGTGTGTCGAAGTTATCATCAACAGCTGCTTTACCTGTCCCCGTCTTTGGAGATGCCTCAGGACTATACTTAACTATTGGTGAAATGTGTGCAAGTGATTGTGCATCAGGACTGTTGTCGAAAGCTGACCCATATAAGTTGGTCAGTGGGAAGTCAGAAGAAGCTTCAGGACTGAATCCGGTCAACGATGTTGTTTCCACATTCAACTTAAAAATTTCTGAGGTATGTGTTTCATTTATTTTTACATAAGATGAATATTTCTTTTGGCATTTATCAACGCATAACTTTTCTGGAGTGAATTCAACAAACTGAAGCGGGAAAGGGAGGAATTCCCGAGAGTTTGTATTTGTGCGGTTGCTTCGGAGTGGAGTACGCGGATTCTTTTTCCGTGAACTGAGCTTTACAAAGACATTACTTCAAATTAGAAATACATACCTGACTAATAATACCTAAAACATCGTTTTTTATGGGTGTTCGGCTAAAGTATTCCATTTACTTGACAAGATTCAGGAAAATTAATGTATTTTAAGCCTAAAAAAGCACAAACAAGAGTTACAATATGCTATCAGTTAAAGTAAAAAAGCGAGAAATTGAATTTTTCACAAAGGCATCATACAGACATATGTTTGGATTGTATGCGAAGAAGCTAGAACCAACGTACATTACTGTGAGGACTTCGCACTAGTCTTGATTTCGTAGGATCAATATTATTTCTCCTAGTAGCTGCCAAGAGACTCCGGACATTTAGAAGTTTAGTACACTGAATATCCCGCAAACAAAATGCCACCAACAATTTTTTTCATAACATCCAGTAACTGAATGATATTTGGCCTTTCTTGGAAGTAGTCAATTTAAGATAATTTTACTTGCAGCTATGATAAATAGGGACGGTGTTTTACGTCATCAACTAATTCAGCATACATGTGAAAGCAAATTTTATGCACTTAGCACTATCTACTTGTTGCGAAAGTCAAACAGTGACTAACAAAACACTGTCAAGCTTATGAGCTGTCACAGCACTACTTATTCAATAAATAGCTAATGATAACACTGTGAACAGAAGACTACCACACGAGGCTGTATTTACCCTCCTGTCGATGTAAATACGAATTTAAAACCCACAGATTATAGCATTGCATCTAATAAAGTGGTGTTACTCAGTAATCATATTTTATATTTTATCTTGTTAATGAGCAAGAGGTATTGCGCGAGGACTAACGGATTTGCTTGACTCAAAATCACTGGATGTAACTAGCTCTAAACCCATGAATCCTCGATTGGGAGCTGTGTGCAAACCAGCGGACTACAGTTGTACTATTGGCAACCTCAATTTGTGCGGCAATCTTTTATATCACCCAAATAGTTATTATCAATAAAGACTCACGCGTCACCCTATAGTCGCTCAAATTTTCATACCTGTATATCATATATGAAATAATAAAAAGTGGGAGACAAGAGCATAAAAATAATACAATGGTTGTGGAAGGTTTCGCTAGAAATTAATAAGATAAACTAACTACATAAGTGAAACAGTAACCTTGGAATGAGATAGGAATGCACTCGGACCGTGCTACTTAGTCTCTCACTACAGCTACTTGTGACCAAATAGATTTCAACCAACATTCAATAACTCAGTGGATTAGTTGCCACGTCTTAGTTTTGTCTCCCTTGACTCTCTGTTAACTTGGTTTTTATTCTGAATGGCATAGCAGTCAACGATGCATATATACATATATACCCTTAAATCAGCGACTATTTAAGGGGCGAATTCAGGCCCATACAAATACAGGAAATTTAGGGGAGTTTCTTCTGAGGGGGGAATGTTACATCTGCTCCAAACTTTTTATTTGAGTATTCCATCACTAACGCTACACTAACCCTAACTTCTATGTATACCTTATCTAACCCTTTAAAATCTCTTCAGGTAACCCTAATATCTACCTATTCAGGTAAACTTAACCCTAACCAGAGCACCGGTACTGTCAGGAGTCACTAACTTATGAAATCCACAGCCTGACAAAAATGGTATTTTACGAGTGAATAATAGGTATAGCTCATGGTAGGAAAATGGTAGAATTTTGGTTGTATTACAAGATCCCTACCATTAATGACCAACAATTCTACATTTTCATCATTATTTAACCCATACTTCTGCATTAAAACCTTTATCTAGCTAGTATTTGGCTAAAGGGCAGTCAAAACTTAACCATTTAGGCCACTATTAAACCATTCTTAAGACAACATTTTCTCGTTATCCGGTCAACGTTTATCTATTAATAAACAGCTATTTCACCATTAATCTTTGCCCATTTTTCCAACAGGTTAACTATTATCTGAGCCATCGATCGACTCATCCAAGAAAGGACTGGAAGGGAAATCGGATAAAAATCTAGGCAGGGTTAACGTCAGCTCTAGACTTACCACTCTGAATCAGAAAGCACGAAGAAATCCGAAACCTCTGGTGCCTTCTAGGTCAAATATCACAAATAGCGCCGGACCTTCAGAAACTACTGTAATTCTCTGTTATGCATTTCAAGTATCTCATACATTGGTGAGGATATTATTTGGTTGGTGGAAAATAACAGTAGAACCCAGGATTGGGTATTCCTGAATCTCTGGTGAGTGATGAAGGCAAAGTTCAACAATAGCGTCCCAAGGGACGCGAACGCACGAGTGACCTTCAGCCTGCCAATCAACAAAATGAGGAATTTTTGCACAAAAATGACGTATATTCACAAGAATATGCATGAAAATACATTAAACAGATTATCTTTCTCTGAAATGACTTAAAAATACGTGCGAGTTATGATGAAGAGCATCAGTTGCTGAGTTGGACAGTTTGTACTGGGATTTTAACTCAGTAACAAACTTTTTAAATGTGAAAACTTTTTTCATCATATCAGCTAGCTGTTTTAGCCACCCCTTGAGCAACAAGTGATTTCTGTTATTTGCCGAAGTTATTTCCAACTCCTAGGGGAGGAATTTACTAGAACAAGATAAGTGGAATCTTTTGACATGTCGGCTTCTGTCACAGACATAGTGTTGCATATGCTTAGGGCATCATCTAATAATCTGTACCAAAAGTGGATATTCCAGCTGATAATAAACATTTCTATAGACCGAAATCAAAAAAGGGTTCCAACAATTAACTTAACAACCAATTAGGTATATACTTATAGCAGGTGAATTTTGGGAAGACAGTTACCCAGCCTGGTCGTGGATTTTGAATAAAAATGCTTAGAGAGTTAAGGGTCATGGGTCCACTGAATTCTTCTGTCAGACGCAAAGACGCTCTCGCGAGGTGAATTTTCTAACATCCGCACAATGGTTTTCATGAGGCGGTCAACTATTTGAAGCTAGTCAAAGCTTTCAATATTTAGCTCGAGCTGAATTGTGGTACACTGTCTGCTGACATCACCTGGTTCTGCAGGCAAAAAATCTACATTTAAACAGAGACTATGACTGCAGAGTATATACCTAATTTTTGAATGGCAGGTAGTGAGTAGTGTACTACCTGTCTTCGAGCATTCACTGATCCTACTCATGCACACAGTTCATTGGTTCATTCTGCTGTTTATTGATCGTATTGCTTGGGTTATTAAACTTATTGTAGTTATTCAACACTCGTTGTAAAATTGCTCTTATCCAATTCGATTTAGGTGGCCAACAAACGGAACATAAAATTCAGTATCTTATTGTGAACAGATTTCAGTTTACCTCTGAAGACAGCGAAACACCTGGTAAGAATATCACGTGAACGGTGCATCGATACCTTCTCTCATTTTGAAGTGTTGTTGCCGCTGTGTCATCTAATGCAAGTCTTCACATGCTGATAGGCACTAAGTCTCACCTGATGTTTTTGATGTAGTCATGACTACCATGCCACTCCCATAAACACGGTCAGTGCTGATGAAAATTCATGTGGTTTATACTGGAAAACAATTTTACACTTTTGAATACTGAGACCGTTAGTCCATTTATGACATTTAAATAAGACACTGAGAAGAGGAATATCGATTGATAATATCATTTAGTAGTTTTCTGATGACTTATTTATTAAATGGCATGGTTCAAAAAAAATAAAATAAAATGTATGACAACTCAAAGGTCGCATAAATATAGTGTACCAGCGAATAATTCCCCAAACAATTGACCATAGGAATAGATTATGTCTAAGAGAAGAATTACATCGTGACCATAAGAATTATCAGTGAACATTGGATGCTGACCCTCAGAGTTTAAGTCGACTTGTTTAGCTGAAGGCTTTCGGTCAAGCATCCCCGCCGTTTAGTACTCCGTCGTGTCACTGTCGTGCACGATAACTAGCTAGCTTAGCTTCCGCTTCACTCCACGATTTGTTTCCGAAATGTATCTCGTAATTTCGACAATCAGTTTTGGTGTTTTGCCTTGCCTTTGGTACGCGAGATTCAAATACGTTAGGAGTCGTTGGTATAAGATCTTGCGTTAATATACCCAGTACTGTACGCTAATGTCTATACCGTCAACCTCTAAACTGGTGAGCCCAACCGCGAACTTAATCTACGGTAAATATGCAGATAACCCTGGTGAGTTCATTCCATTTTTTTTGTTCTTGTACTATATATTATTCGACATACTTTTCGTTATGAGCGATCCTAGTCCCAAGGTCATTCGTATCCGTTCAATTTCTAAAACCATTCAGCTCGTACCATGCTGGCCAGAAAAATAAATAAATTTTAAAAAAATAAAAAAAAATAATGCTGAAACGTGGTTTCCGATAGCTGAATCAGATTTTCGTGAGCATAGGATAACCGATCAACTATCACACTTCCTTGCAGTTATTCACGCGTAACTTTTCAGATATCGAGTCCAGAGTTAAGTAACTCGTACGAGTTGCTCGAAGCATCCCTCCTCAGGAGAAACGTTCTCACGGACCGACAACGTCTGGATGAATTATTTCGTAACATCGAGTTAGGGGATCAGTCAGCTGTGAGCATGCTGACAAGAATGAGAGAGGTTATTGGCCAAAGACATTTCGATGAAGGCCTTTTTAGAGAACTCTTCTTATTTAAGCTGCCACAGTCCGTGCAGACCGTACTTGTGACACTTCAGGGTGTTATAATTGATGACTTAGCTATTTCTGCAGATAAGATTCTAGAAACAACTAAACGGTCAGTTTCCGAAATATGCTCGATGACTAAGCAGACTTCGAGAAAGGACACCGTAGTGACAGAGTTATGTAACTCCAGCCAGCAGATTATTAGGTCAAACATGCCTTCTAAATCCTCCGACCGTCGTCTTAAACCTCCTCAACGCAGGAACTCACGTGGTCGATCTAAGTCCAAACCACGTTCACTGAAAAACCCTGACTGGTGCTGGTACCACAACACATATGGCCAAGAAACGAAGTGTGACCGTAAGCCTTGTAACTTCGGAAATGTCTCAAAGTCTGCGGGAAACTATCCCGCCGGCACGCGTTAGCGGCAACCGTCGCCGGTGGCACTAGCCGCCTACTTTACATCCATGATGTGATAAGCCAGACTCGATACTTAGTCGACACAGGCGCCGAAGTCAGCGTCCTTCCTGCTACTGCAGCAGATCGACAGAAGGAACCTACCTTCAACTTACAGGCTGCAAATGGAAAACCAATTGCAACCTTTGGTAAGAAATACGTCTATCTGAACGTAGGTTTACACAAACCTATTCAGTGGATTTTCCTCCTTGCTGACGTCACAATGCCCATCATTGGCACGGACCTACTTAATCATCGTGATTTACTCGTAGACGTCCGCCGAAAACGACTGATTCACAATACTACTAGTCTGTCTATCAAAGGCATCACCTATATAGGCTCCAGTTTGTCACTCGTTAAGATAAAGGCAATCCTTGATCCAACTTTTCAACATATTGTTGACAAATATCCGGAGCCTTATTGCCCGTCTAACGACCTACCGTGCATAACCAGCAATGTTATAATTTATAATTTTTAGTGATCACAAACCTCTGACGTACTCTCTGAACTCACCTTCAGATAAGTATTCACCCAAGGAACTACGACAACTGGATTACGTTTCACAGTTTACATAAGATATTCGCCACGTATCCGCAGTAAACAGCACTGTGGCAGATGCCTCGTCGCGCGTTTGTTCCCTCACCCAAATCGAAGGCATAGACCTTGTAAAACTGTCTCGTCTTCAAAAAGAAGATAACGAGTTTCAACATGAGTCGTCGAAAACAACTCTACAATTAGCTGAGAAACCCTTTGGTATGGGAAGAGATACTATTCTATGCGACATTTCCACGAGTACTCCTCGCCTCATCGTGCCTAAAATTTATCGCCGTAACGTCTTCAATACGTTACACGGCTCACCTCACCCAGGTATTCGAACTACCAGTCGTTTTTGTTGGCCTGGCATTAATACGGAAGTAAGGGAATGAGCACACATGTTCTTAGCTTGTCAAAAGTGCAAGGTGATAAGACACACCAAAAGCCCACTTGGCACCTTTCTTCTCCCTGACGCTCGTTTCGAACACGTCCATATAGATTTGGTTGGTCCCCTTCCTGAATCACATGGATATACTTATATTTTAACTTGCATAGATAGCTTCACACGATGGCCGGAAGCAGTACCCATCAAGGATGTATCTGCTGAAACAGTCGCACGCGTCTTCGTAGAAAGATTGATTGATAACTTTGGATGCTCATCTTCCATAACACTTGATCGCGGGCGGCAATTCGAAAGTGGCTTATTCCTCGCCCTGACTAAAATCATAGGTTGCATGCGATTTCGAACAACAGCCCACCATCCTCAAGCTAATGGTATGGTAGAACATCTACACAGACAGTTGAAAGCTGGTTTTTCAGCTGCAAACACCACCCATTGGACTGAATCCCTGCCGTTAGTTCCCCTAGGGATACGAAACGCCTTGAAAACCGATGCTGGTTGTACTAGCGCCGAGCTAGTATACTGCACGACACCATGACTGCCTGGTGAATTTGTTTCTCCCTTGAGCTTCCCACCAGCGGTGGATCACGCTTCATACGTCAGCAGGCTTACAAACGCAATGCGTTCAGTTAAACCTGCTCCCCTTCGTCCAGAGTCTATTGATGTTTTTGTTCATCCCTGTTTAATTAACCTCTTCACATGTATTTGTTCGTCGTGACTCTGCGCGTAGACCTCTGGAACCCCCATACGACGAACCTTATAAAGTAACTAAACGTTTGGATAAATTCTTTGTCTTAGACAAAACTGCCACGAGGACACCGTCAGCATTCACCGTCTGAAACCGGGTTATTTGGAAGGTAATCCTATTGGCATAGAGCTCAACGTACCTCATAATCCACAAGTAACCGAAGATCGTTCAGTCCTTGATGAAGTCATTAGCACGGCGATAGCTACCGAATCTTCTGCCGGGCCTCCTAAGAAAACCCGTACCGTAAGGTTCCCAGAATATCTTCACACCTATATAACAATGAAGTCGTGTGATTCACCCAACTCATTCGTTTGTGGTACTAATTATTATTTTCTTTTCAGGCGCATCAATATTTTTATATACAGTTACACTAAACACAAGTAAATTTTTTCTTTAACACTACATGTTTCATGAACCGAAAAAATTAGATGTATTCTTTTCGATGTTCTGAACTTAGCATTATTTTACTGTGTGGTAAATGCACAACATTTTTTAAAAAAAACGCTGATTT